CGACAGGTGGGGACAGGTGAGACAGGTGGGGACAGGTGGGACAGGGGGGACAGGTGGGGACAGGTGAGGACAGGTGGGACAGGTGGGACAGGTGCGACAGGTGCGACAGGTGGGGACAGGTGAGACAGGTGAGGACAGGTGGGACAGGTGGGACAGGTGCGACAGGTGCGACAGGTGGGGACAGGTGAGACAGGTGAGATAGGACAGGAGGGACAGGTAAGCAGCCCTGGAGGGAAAATTCCCCATCCAGGTGAGCTCAGCCTGCTTTGGGGGTCACAAGTGATCCCAGGGAAGCCCAGGTGACCCCAGGAGCCACACCCGTGCCCAGGTGTATCCCAGGTGTCCCCAGCTGTGCCCAGGTGTGCTCCCACCTGTCCAGGTGTCCCCAGGTATCCCCAGGTGACCCCAGGTGACCCCAGGTGCGCCCAGGTGTTCCCCAGCTGTGCCCAGGTGTGCCCAGGTGTCCCCAGCTGTGCCCAGGTGTGCCCAGGTGTCCCCAGCTGTGCCCAGGTGTCCCCAGGTGTCCCCAGGTGTGCCCAGGTATCCCCAGGTGTCCCCAGCTGTGCCCAGGTGTGCCCAGGTGTCCCCAGGTGTGCCCAGGTGTCCCCAGGTGTCCCCAGCTGTGCCCAGCTGTGCCCAGCTGCGCTGTCCCTCACCTGCCTGCTCGTTGGCCGCCAGGTTCTGCTCGAACTCGATGCGCAGCATCTCGTACTCCTTGCGCACCTGTGCCAAGGTGTCCTCCAGCTGGATCACCTCTGTGCGCAGCCGCTTCTGCACGCCCAGCTCGTCGCTCTGCCGGGAGAATCCCGACACCCCCAGCTCTGGAATCTCCTCGCTCGCCTCCAGCCTTTGCTTTTATTATCGCTCTTTTCCAGGCTTTTGTTTTCGTTCCCCCGCTTTTGGGGGTTTTTTTTTTTTCAGCTCTTTTGGAATTCGTTCCCGTTTTCCCGCGGACTTTGCAGATCTTTCTTCGAGGTTTTTTTGGCTTTAAATAAATTTCTTTCGGCGGCGTTTTTGGGAATTTCTCTCTTTTTTTGGGATCTCTTGGGATTCCCTTTCCCATTTTTTCCCTCATTTCTGCATTTTTTAGTGTTTTCTTTCCATGAGTTTTCAGCAGTTCACAGAACTTTATCTCTCGTTTGTTTTTGGAGACCTTTTTTACCTTTTTCTGGTTATTTTTAGGGGCATTTTTAGGATCCCAAGGTGCCGGCGGCCATCTTGGATGGGGAATTATGGGATTGATGGTGCCGGCGGCCATCTTGGATGGGGAATTATGGGATTGATGGTGCCGGCGGCCATCTTGGATGGGGAATTATGGGATTGATGGTGCCGGCGGCCATCTTGGAACCGAGTTATGGGGATTAATGTCCCCAAATGTCCCCAAACGTCCCCAGATGTCCCCAGGTGACCCCCGAGGCCCCGGCCCACCTCCATGTGCTCGATGTGGCGCAGGTGGCTGTTCTTGGTGGCCAGCAGCAGCGCCCGCGCCTCGTCCAGCTGCGTCTTCACCTGCAGGCTCTCGTGGTAGAGCAGCGAGAACTGCGACTGCAGCACCTTGTACTCCAGGGCCTCCTTCACCGCCTCCTCGGGCAGCGAGCGCAGCGCCACCTGGACAGGTGAGAGACACCTGTGTGACACCTGTGTGACCCCTGAGTGACCCCTGAGTGACCCTGAGTGACCCCTGAGTGACCCCTAAGTGACCCCTGAGTGACCCCTGAGTGACCCTGACTGACCCGAGTGACCCTGAGTGACCCTGAGTGACCCCTGAGTGACCCTGGGTGACCCTGAGTGACCCTGACTGACCCCTGAGTCCCCAAGTCCCTGTTGGTGTCCCCAATGTCCCTGATGTCCCCGTTGGTGTCACCTTGAGGCGCTCCTGGCCCCTGACGGCCCCAACATCCCTGAGCCCCCCAATGTCCCCGATGTCCCCGATGTCCCCAGATGTCCCCAATGGTGTCTCCGATGTCCCCAAATGTCCCCAGATGTCCCCAGTGTCACCTTGAGGCGCTCCTGGCCCCTGACGGCCGCCTGCAGCTCCAGCTGCAGCTTCTCCAGCTCGGCCATGCGGGAATTGGCCAAGTCCTGGTTCCCCTCCAGCTCCGCGTTCAGCATCTCGAACTGCGGGACAACGGTCCAGAGCCCCGGGATTCACCCCAGAACCCCGGGATTCACCCCAAAAACCCCGGGATTCACCCCAAAACCACAGGATTCACCCCAAAACCACAGGATTCACCCCAAAAACCCCGGGATTCACCCCAAAAACCCCGGGATTCACCCCAAAAACCACAGGATTCACCCCAAAAACCCCGGGATTCACCCCAAAAACCCCGGGATTCACCCCAAAAACCCTGGGATTCACC